GGCAGACGGCGCAGGAAGATGGCACTGAGACAACGCATGAGTTTGTCTTGTGCTGAAATAAATTTACTTGCATGCCAGATACACACAATACCCACGCACACACACGCACACACACAACACAAACACGCACACACAGTCGAGTGCACTCTGCTAACTAAATTTTGCGCTGCGTACGCGACTCAGTGGAGTGCAAAAGGCATTGGACTGACTTGGACTGACTTATGGCAAGATAAGCAGCCGAGTTTGAGTTACAGGTTAATTTATTATTGAAACTAATGTTGGCAGTCCAATGGAGTTGATGTACAGATGTAGGGGGGGGGGGGGGTAGCTACTGGGGGTAAATGAGGGGCGTGGCACTGTCACTGCAGGTGCCATGCTGATGTCGCCGGTTTGGTGAGTCACTTGTCGGTCGGCTGGCTGTGACGGGGCCGGGAACTGAAGCGGGAACGGAGGCGTAGGCGGTGCACTGGGTGGCAGCCAGGCGGGCGGTAGGCTGGAAGCGGGTCTAAAGCGAAAATTATGAAATTCAACTTGACAAATGTCACTGACATTAATTAAACGTTGAGATATGGCAACAGCAGTACAAGAGCGCCAGGGTGTCTGCCTGTCTGTCTGTCAGGCAGGTGGGCCATGCGAATGGATGCTGCCTTTAAATGATTTAAGCGAGCACTGGAAACTTAACTCCATTGCAATCTTGCATTTCACAGATGAAAAATCAATAAGCAACTTGTAATTGAATTGCAATCGCAATTCAATTGAGCTTAATTTGTACGAGAAAATCACCATTTGGCTCGTAAGGAAATTGCAGAGTGAAATGCCATTCCTTTGCTTTGCTTTAAGCCAGCGATGCCTTAAATTGTGTGCCAGCAACTTTTAAAGCAGCCGGCGTCCATTTCTTTATTTTTTGTATTTTCAGTTTTTTGTTGAGCTTTTTCGCACACTTCGCCAGCTTCCGCTTCCGGCGGCAAGCAAAGCAGTGCAAACACAGCCCACGCTCTACTTTTTCCACTCTCATCCACCCTCTCCCCCCCCCCCCCCCTCTCTCTCTCTCTCTCTTTCTCTGTCTCTCTATGCTTTTTGTTGTTTTCTGGCATAAAAATCATTAAACTGATTTATATTCCGTTTGATTCCCTTGTTCCCCTCGACTACGCGTCATGTGTGCCCGTCGCTCTTTCTTTTTTGATACCCTATTCCCAATCATGGGGTATTTTGACTATCAAATTTGTCATTTTTTCTATTCTTGAAAATATTTATATATTTTTTTATACTCTGTATCTGTTACGAATAGTTAAAAAGTAAGAGTTTATAGCAGCAGTTATGCAAAGAATATATTAGGGTTATATCAGCTAGGAGGTTATCCGATTCTTTAAAATCGATAATCATCGTTTTCCAGCACTTGTTTCTTTTACACATTTCTGAGATCATAAAGGTAGCTTCGAGCTGGGTACAAGGTATCTCCTAGATTTTATTAAACTTTAAATAAAATCCAATTCTAATTGTTAAACAAATATAAAACTCATATTTAGCGTATATACTCGTGTTTATGAAAGATGGCATATACATAAGTAGAATATATAGGGTATTACAAAGTCAGACGTTCACGTGCTTGTTGCTCTTGTGCCGATGCCTGAACTTGAGTTCAAGTTTGATAAAAGGGTCGCTCGACAGACCTTGCCCATGCCCAGTGGCAGAAACCCATACGAAATTCGATAATTCAAGTCAATTTCGCATGTGTCGGGGTCGCTCAAGGGTTAAGTGATTTCTTTTGTTTCTGTTTTTCTGCTTCTCTGTCTTGTTTTCCTTCTTGTTTAATGCTAGTCAACTGTAAAATAAAGTCGCATAAATAAGCAAAGAAAACACATGAAAAATTTAAAGTTTTACGCACAAATAATTTAAATTTTGAAACTATTGATTTTGTTCAGAGATAAGCCTAGCCGCCCCTTACTATCTCTCTCTCTCTCTCCCTCTCTGTCTCTCACTCTCTCTGTCTCTCACTCTCTCTTGCCTTCACCCAGGCTGACAGTGTTGGCTAATGCGCTGCAGGCGTTGACCAATATCAAAAAATGTTGACCCAAAATGTTTGCACAGTTGTTGCCTTCGGTTAACTTACGTTCCCCTTGCCTCACCCGCCCGAAAAAAAACCAGCGCACTTGTCACCCCCGCAGCCGGCCACAATCCAGCCCCGTACCGAGTCACCTTCCACCTTGAAAGGGTTGTCATTACAGAAATTCAATTCAATTTCGTTGAAATGTTTTATTATATGTATGTATATTTTGTTGTTGCTGTTGTTGTCGTTGATGTTGTTGTTGTTGCTGTTGTTGTTCTGACTGATTTTAATGTAATTGCCGGTAATAGCAAACACTTTTTATAGCCTAACAAGTTGTTGTCGTTGTCGTTGTTGTGGCCTGGTTGTTGCTGCTGTTGTTGTTGTTATCGTTGTTGTTGTCGGTGTGCCACGCTTAATGTCTGTTTGATCATTTTTCGTATCCCAAATTGAATTCTAATTTAAAATTAATTTTCATGTGCTTGTGGATATAGATATTGATAGTATATAGTATCGCACCATTTAAGCTGCAAAGTGTGAAATTGTGCAAATAGCAAATGGGCTAAAAATGTTAATCAATGTTTCAAATTCATATTTAACTTCGAATTTGCTTTAATTTCGTGTGGCTAGCTAAATTACGTTAACGAAATTTATTTGACCTTAAAGGATATCTTGGCCTGAACCCATATAAAGAAAACTGTCTGCATTTAAGTAAGGCAATAGGTAAGATAGACAATCTATTGAAATTAATTTTAAATTCAAATTGTTGTTGATATTTTGTAATAGCTTTTAAATAAAACAGCGAAAGCTATCAAATTTTTTTAATATAAAAAGAATTGAAACGGAAACCAAAGAAAGGTCTGTTCACGGCGCTACGAAATACAAATACCCTTTCTTTGGATTGAATGAATATGTCTTTTGGCTAGTTTTTTCGCATGCGTACATTTGTACCTACAGCATTTTTGCTGGGCACGAGATTGGCTGCCGGTTCAAGGCAAGTTGTTGGTAATGAAGTCTTTGATAATTGTCTTTGATGTGCTTTGAAAAATATTGGAAGCGTAGAGCAAGAGGCCGTCGCACACGTACGAATCTACGTTTTACGGAAACGACAGCGTTTTGATATATTCTTCAAAGAACTTACAGTCTATCACTGTGATTTCTTATCAATTTGATTATAATTGAAAACATCTAACATACTACATCTACTTCATTGATGGTTATCGTGAGGATTCCAGAAAATACGCGAAAACATGTGCTGCGACAAGTTTCGACAATTTTATCAATGAAAAGTGCAATCAATAGACTTTAGTCTGCAACTGACTAATTGTTTAATATTTAGAAATTCTATAAGGCATACATATATTTGGATATCAAATGGATCATAAATGGATTTTCTTAATTGGAGAATTATGTACCCAAAAAACTAATTACTTAGAGGTTTTAAACAAGATTCGAGTTCATTTGGAACACTTGAACTTTTGTAAGGCTGTAAAGCACACTTTCTTTATTTTATACCTTAAAACGAGTCGTGTTATTAATTTTATTAAATCTACCCATCTTGATCTCGACAACGTATCAAACAAATTCTCACAAAGATCTTTAAAAATTACTTTAAAGCCGATTCTGATCGAAAACTAAAAACTTTAACTTTAATCCTGAATCGCTGAAACTGGTATTCATAAATTGTTTATGTAAAGCTTTGAAAAGAAGTTTGAGGCAAATCGAACAAAACTTACAAGTTAGTGCACAAAATCTTTGAGTCAAGGAAGCTTGGATTCTGTGAAAAGTGTGAAACATGTCTCAACTGATTTTTCATAGAGAAACGTCACCCTCCAAATATTTGACCTCCATTTCCATGGATGGATTTTCCTAATAGTGTGAAACACTCCTAAATTTAATTTAAATAAAGATCGTTGAAATTGAGTCGGATCACGAATCAGTAAGTCAGTCAGTACAAATAGTTTTATATATAGAGAGAAGGCCGACTTCAATGAATTTAAAAGCATGTGGGATGAAAAACATTTTTGCTGCTTATTTTCCGCAGTCAGTCAATCAGTTGGCCAGCTCGTCAGTATTGTATACCGCGCTTAGTTGCGGGTGTAGAGATTTAAAAAATGTAATGACAAATGCTAATACTAAAATACTTCCGACCACAATTCAATTCAAATTACTGCGATGCTTAGTTGTTCTCATCTTTGTGTTTCGGTATGCTGTGTGTGCGTGTGTGTGGTGAGCATCTAATTAATTAAACAATTGCAAATTCCTTTGATAAATTAACGTCACCAAGCACTGACCACACGCACAGAGACCAAGAGTGAGGGAAAGAGGGAGAGAGAGAGATGTGCACACAGAGGAACGCATGGTCTTGATGGGCGGAGAATTCAGGGGCCCTCGACAAAGGACCTCCACACTGTTGCTGGTTATTGCAATATTAATGCAAATGTTGGCCTGACAATGTGTCCAATTGCAAACAGGATGGCGCTGTTTTGGCACTTAGTGACTAAATTGCTGTTAATTTGTGTTTGCGGCTTCGAAGGAAGGAAGAAGTGTTCCGTTTGTGAAATTTCCGAGTGCGAACAATTAAATAAATTAAAAAAAAAAAAAAAAAAAAGAAGTCAGCGCTCACCAGCAGCAGCAAGTAATTTTGATAAGATATGCCAATGGGCAAGACATCAAAAACAAAAAATACTTACCGCACAGCATCTCGAACAGCAGTCAATATCAAGGTTACAACGGCTGGCAGCATCGTATCAGACATCTATCTAATAAACATGTCGATAAAGCACAAAACAATACTAATGTACTTCAGATGCCTATCGGCACACTGGCGCTACCATATAAAAGCGACTGCCCCCGACGATATTGTCATTTAAGTAAAGCACTCTTTGTGCCAAGTCTTCTGGTAGCCCAAGCATATACAACAGGAATAGCTGTCAACGCTCTCAACTCCTTGAAGATGAGAGCTCATTACGGTATGAAACGACAAATGGTGGTGCAAGATGCAAGGACTAACCCTACCTATATCCGTTTAACCCCTTTCTAGTCCTTACCTGCCTGGCTCTACTGGTGGCCACCACGGGTGCCGCCAACATAAGGCCCTCAGTGACAGCCGTGAATAACCAGCTGTACCGCCGGTTTGTTTGCGTGAACAAGTCCAATGGATTCCGTGCTCTGGTGCCTGGTAGCTGCTCTAAATACTACGAGTGCCAGAATGGCGTCGCCATGGAGACCACTTGCTCGCGTTTCTTTGATCCTAAGGTGCAGGGATGTGTCACCTATAACACTGGATGTGTTGAGGTCATGCAAACATCAGCTGCAGCATTGATTGGTGGTAATTCCGGCACTGCCGCAGAACCATGTGCAGAAACAGTAACCACTACATGTGTCCCACCCGTGACTACCACCTGTGAAACGACCACCCCCTGTAAGCCAGAAACGACAACTACCACATGTACGACACCGAAAACTACCACATGTACAACGCCAACAACAACCACTTGTTCAACAGTGACAACAACCACGTGCACAACACCAACAACAACCACTTGTTCAACGGTGACAACAACCACATGCACAACACCAACAACAACCACGTGCACGACTCCAACTACAACTACTTGCACAACACCAACAACAACCACCTGCACAACGCCAACAACAACCACGTGTACGACACCAACAACCACCACATGTACGACACCTACAACCACCACCTGCACAACGCCAACAACAACCACGTGCACGACACCTACAACAACCACTTGTTCAACAGTGACAACAACCACCTGCACAACACCAACAACAACCACTTGTTCAACGGTGACAACAACCACATGCACAACACCAACAACAACCACGTGCACAACACCAACAACAACCACCTGCACAACACCAACAACAACCACCTGCACAACACCAACAACAACCACTTGTTCAACAGTGACAACAACCACCTGCACAACTCCAACAACAACCACTTGTTCAACGGTGACAACAACCACATGCACAACACCAACAACAACCACGTGCACAACACCAACAACAACCACCTGCACAACACCAACAACAACCACCTGCACAACACCAACAACAACCACTTGTTCAACGGTGACAACAACCACATGCACAACACCAACAACAACCACCTGCACAACACCAACAACAACCACGTGCACCACACCAACAACAACCACCTGCACAACACCAACAACAACCACTTGTTCAACAGTGACAACAACCACCTGCTCAACACCAACAACAACCACTTGTTCAACGGTGACAACAACCACCTGCACAACACCAACAACAACCACTTGTTCAACACCAACAACAACCACCTGCACAACACCAACAACAACCACTTGTTCAACAGTAACAACAACCACCTGCACAACACCAACAACAACCACTTGTTCAACGGTGACAACAACCACCTGCACAACACCAACAACAACCACTTGTTCAACAGTGACCACAACCACTTGTTCAACAGTGACAACAACCACCTGCACAACACCAACAACAACCACTTGTTCAACGGTGACAACAACCACCTGCACAACACCAACAACAACCACTTGTTCAACAGTGACCACAACCACCTGCACAACAACAACTTGCTCAACAACCACCTGCTCAACAACCACATGCATTGTACCAGAAACAACAACTTGCACGCAACAAACAACCACCATTTGCGCTCCTGGAGCATCGGGCAGTAAGGTAAGACCCTCGTCTGTCCATGTGAGACCCGCCGCGAGACCGTTCCACAGCCCTCTGGCCGAGACACAGCAGCAGCCAATGGAGATGGCTTCGGCAACGAACGAATTGAGCATGAACCTTTACACCAGCTACGTGTGCCGCAACAAGCCCGACGGCTTCATGCTGGCCTCCCTGACGAGCTGCAACAACTATTATATCTGTCGCTACGGCAAGCCCCTGCAAGTTAGCTGCGGCAAGAAGTACTTCAACGCGCTGAAGGGCATCTGCGATCTGCCCGAGAATACACGCTGCGTACAGCCGCAGGCCTGAGCGAGTCGCTCACCCGTTGACAGCACTCCCCATGCATAGGAATGACTAATGACTCCACCATCTTTATAAATATAATTAACTACCTTATAAACGAGTTGTATCTACTGATTTAAATGTCACAGAAATGCAAATGCTAATACAGGCCATAAAAATGCAAATTGCTTGGGTTTTCAGTTCATCAGATCTTTCTCTTTCAAAAATATCAAAAGTTACAAACAAATTACAAATTAGATGCAAATGTACTAATTGGGTCTTCAGCTTGTAAATAGTATAGTGTACCAGTCTACGGTATTCCTTAGATAACTCCAGAACATTTAAATGTTAATCAAAACAATTTTACCTTGTGGGTTTAGTGTTTTGAAAATTCCCTAAAGTTATGGGCGAGTTAGAGCTTTTTTTCTAAAAAAGATAAATTATTTTTAGATTATTTTATAAAAATAGAAAAGGGCTAACACAATTTATGATAAATTGCAGTTCCTTTTGGCGATGCAACCTTTTCGGTTTCCATTTTTTCTACAGAGTTTCGCCAGTCGGCAGAAAGTGTAAATCATATTGACTACTGGGGTCTTACTTATACAGATCACATTTGCGCGAGCACAAAGCGGACCAAAAATTCCAATTTCTGTGCGCCAAGAAACAATTGTTCATGTATATATGTATATGAATATATGTATGTATGTATGTACGTATATGCGCAATGGTTTTGGGCAAAAAAACTGTAGATCTTATGTATGTCTTTATTTCATTAAACATTTGTCAATATATATCGCCTTCTAGTTATGAAAATGAAAACAAGAGGCAACTGAAATTGTAAGTCTGTTGAATAGAAAAACACCACATGTTTACTTGAATTTGTGGCGATGCCTGCTATCGTGATATTGAAGCCAAGCTTTATTTTAATTAAGCTACGTTTGTATTTAAACACATTTATCGATCATCTGCCCTTGCTCACCTACTTTTGAATGGCACTCACTCAAGTTTATGGTTAACTTACTCAATTTGTACACTCTGAGTCCGTGCAACAGAACTCGTTTTAGTTAACAGTCGTCTAAAGCTGTTAAAAATATTGTGAGTGCAAATTTTTGGGTAAACATGTTATCCTCCGTATCTCTCATGGTATACGCACGTTCGTACTAGTGCGGATCGGGAGTATTAAATGTTGATATATAATAAAATCGTATTCTAAAGTTTGACCGGAATGGCAATTAAACTTTTAGCCAAATCTTTGTAGGTTCTGAAATCAACATTTGTAGAGAGACTTCTGTCGAACGTTTAAGAACTTAAATGAGCTCCAAAAGATAAATTCTGCAGAAGTCGGTCGGTTTAACCGATATAAAGTCATTTAAAGTTTACAAAATACTGATAAACTTTACATTTTGTATTTTTCAGGCCATGGACTGGATAATAATCAGTATCGTTGGTAGCTAGATGGCCTCTATATTCAATGGATGGAAATTTAACAAAATGTCATTCTAAACGTTGACCAAATTGCAAGTCGTTTGGTTGTGAAATAAATACTTTTATTGTTCTGACAATTTTAACGGCTTTCATGATTCCCAAAAAGTGTTTCCAAAATAGATGGTAATATAACGTATATATCAAATATATATATATTATATAGTTCACAAAAATGTATTTTTTATGTGTATATGTATACTTTACTTTGCAATGAATAAAACTACAAAATTTGTTTAATTATTTAAAATAAATTATTTATTAAATTTTAAATTAACAAATTTGTTTTTTTTTTTACATGTATTTTCGGTTTTAGCTTAAATTTGCTATATCTAGCTTAATATATGTTCGATCCTGGAAGGAATAGCCTTTTCGGATTCGTAGAAGTCCTTAGAATCAATTGGAGTCCTTAAACCCTTCAATCTGAAAAGAAAAAAACACATTTGAATCAAAAATATCCTAATAAATACAAGGGTATTTTGAGGAAAGAAACAGCCATAACTCCGGCATATCCTTGCAGATCCTTGCAGGACATGGTGCGTTAGGATCGTGGGGACCAACTGCATCGAACTGCATTAAAATATTATGGGGTCATCTAAGAATCCTGGACTTGGTAATTTTTCAGTCGCGGGCCGCAAGGAAAATTGGCCTAAAACACAAAATTACAGTAAAATTGCAATATCTCTGAAATTAAAAGGACGATCTTGATGAAACTTGGCCAGATTGTAGTCCTGGTCCATACAATTTTTTTGACACAGGAATCGTAAGGATACGCCAGGATATGGCCGAGTTATAAGCTATTTTCTGTTTACAATTTTGTCCTTAAAACTTTTTTGTCCGAAGGACTTTCGTCCTTTGGATTGCATATTCGTAAATGGGATGATAAGGAATATCTACTGTCCAAAGGACATCTCGATAGTCCTTCAAATGGCAGAGTTAGTCCCGAATTTTTCGATTTTTGGCAATTTTCTGACTAAACCCCTGTGAAAATTTTTCGTGAAATTTTTTGTCAAATTCTGGAAATCCTTGAATGCCAATCGATAGTCCTGCTCTCCACGAGTTCAGAAAGGTATATCCTTTGGATATCCTTAAGGATATGACCAAGATATGGCCATAAAAAGAATGTCCTTTTTAGAAAATTAGCCATATCTCTGAAACGACAAGGACGATTCGGATGTCCTTTGGCCGGTTTGTAGTCCTTGTCTATACAATTTGTTTGACACACGACTTATCAGGATCCGCAAGGATATAGCAGAGATATAGCGATCTCAATATACAACACAAATATCCTTTTATCTTGGCTGTTTGAAGGACCTCCGTCCTTTGTATTACATTTTCTGAATGGGCAAGAAAAGGACAGTCTGATGGCCGAAGGACATGCCGGAAGTCCTTCAAATGCCCAAGATATGGCCAGATTTGTAAAAGTATCCTTTTTAGAAAAATAGCCATAACCCGGTCATATCCTTGCAGATTTTGAAAAAACATTGTGCGATAGGATCGTGGCGACGAACTGCATCAAGTGTTTCATCTAAGGATCATGGACTTAGTAATTTATTGTCGCGATGTCCTGGGTTACAGACTGAAAACAAAATCCTTTAGATTTCATTAAATGACTAGGTCGATTTGGATGTCCTTTGGTCAGTTGGTAGTCTTAGTTATAAGCTTATTTGTGTGTCTAATCTGATTAGATTTTATGATGCAGAGGGGTCAGTTAGAAAATCTAAAATATCTGGACTAACTTTACAACTTGAAAGACTATGGGGAACTTCTTTGCCCAATAGATAGTCCCCATCCTCCCATTAAAGAATATGCAGCCCCAGGACTCGGCTATATCGAATTAGCACTGACTACAAACTGGCCAAAGAGGACCGAAATCGTCCTTTTAGTTCCGGATATATTGGCGACTTTGCGTCTTATGTAAATTTTCTTGCGGCAACGACTGAAAAATTTACCAAGTCCTAGATTCTTAGATGACACCCTAATATTTTGTTGCAGGTCGATGCGCTTGGTCCTCACGATCATAACGCACCACGTCCTTTCAAAAAACGCAAGGATATGGCGGAGCTATAAGCAACCAAAGATTAAAATTTCAATTGACCTGCCGAAAAAAAATCATTGCATACCTGAATGGGGCACGTTCGACAGCTCAAATAAAATTAACATTTTTTTTGGCGAGTTGTGGTTACAAATGGAATGTCCTTTATGGAAAATTAGCCAAAGTACAAGGACTATCGTAACGTCCTTTGGCCAATTATAGTCCTCATTCGTGAGTTATTTTCGTTCCTTGTGAACAAAACACGGATGATAAAGATGTCCTCTAGCCACCTGCTATTCAATAAGTCGTTTCACACAGGACAGTTTGGCATCTGCAAGAATTTGATCGAGTTGTAAAACTATCGCTTTCTCTAGGTTTGACAAAACATGATACTCAGATATGACATGCTTACCAGTAAGTACCAGCAATCTGTAGTGTGAAGCTGCGTAGAGTCGTCGGTACAGAATATCCAACGTAGTTCACAACTCGTAGCCTCATCTACGCCGGAAGCTGCCAACACCATCGGGGCCCTTGGCCATAACAGACAGAAGAGAAGAAGCTGCACAATGGAATTATGGGCACATTTTTACACAGTTGACATTGGAAGACGTGCACTAAATCCACTCCGTTCGAGCTGCAACAAACACGTCCGGCATATTCAAATTAGCAAGGCAGCAGATGTCCCAAAATCGGCTAAAATGAATAAATAATGTAATATGAGCTGAGAGGCATTCAAATTATGCTCTTACCTTTTATCCTGGCGAGCAGTCTGATGATGTGCTACTCCAGTTAAATTCAAAGATATCTGCCCTCCTGCTTTTCAGACGTACTTGGGTTCTGTTACGCGCAGACATGTTCTAGCATATATCGGGCTCAATTATGTAATCACAGATATCCCAAGATCGCCTAAAATAAATGGATAATGTTATATGCGCCGAAAGACCTTTATCTTAAGTTCTTACCTTTTATACCGTTACTCCAGTAAATTCAAAGATATCTGCTTCACTGCTTTGCAGACGAGGAAAAAAAACTGTGAATACACTTGGGTTCCGTAACGCTAAGACATTTTCTTTATCCTCGCTGTGGCTGGAACTCCAATGACATCCGACATATTCATGTTAGCAAAGATTCTATCCCAAGATCGCCTAAAATAAATGGATATTGCAGTATGCACTGAAACACAATCAACTTGTGATCTTACCTTTCATCCCGGCGAGCACCCTGATGCGCGGTCCCACTTAAATTCAAAGATATCTGCTCCACTGCTTTCTAGGCGAGGAGAAGGAAAACTTTGTGCATCCACTTGGGTTCCTTAACGCGCAGACATGTTCTATATTCACGCAGCTGCTTACACTATAAGGAAATCTGGCCCAATTAAATAAGCACAGATAGGCCAAGATCGCCTGAAATGATTGAATTATGTTAAATTAACGGAAAGACCTTTAAGTTATGCTCTTACCTTTTATCACGGCGAGCAATTCAGACGTACAAAGAACATTTTGCGCCCACGTTGGTGCCGTGGCGTCCACGCAGGAGTCCTAGTAAAAGAAAGAAGTAGAGTAAAGTGCTGCCTCATACGCGTCCAAGAAGGTATACCATTCGAAAATAGGACGGCATTTACCCATGAAATTATCGTTTATATGTTTATTTAATATGCTTTAAGCGAATATAACTCACAGCGGAGCAACGCGTCACACTAAATACTCCAGTCAAACTAACATAAAGTGAGAAACGACTGGGCAAAGCAACCGAAATAACGGCGCATTGAATGTAGAGAGCGAGAGAGTAAACGATCCCATTCGGATATACACACTTGCATAAATATTTAACTGAAAAAAACACAACACACAAACATGTGTATGCAGAATATGCCAAATATGTGTATACATATGTACATATGTGTATATGCGAAACTGAGCATTATCTTATTGTGCATCGCGCTCTCACGAGTTGCTGCTGCTTAGCGAGCTGATTTTTCGTAAAGTGGCATCTCTATTTCTTGAAAAATTCACAGAGAAACCATAACAAAAGGAGAGTTACCGTTTTTGTGATCAGGCACCATCGATTTGCATAATACATACATATGTACATGTGTGCACAAATGTCTCGGCGGGCAGAAATTAGAGCAGGCAGATGATCGAAAGATAAATTCGTTATTTAGTGAGCGCGTTTTAGGCTAGATAAGTAGATGTCTCTGTAGAGTACAAACACCCAAACATACATATGTACATATGTATGCAGAGAGTATCGACAAATATGTGTGCACGTACGCATGTTTATATGACTGCTAGAGCATTATCTACCTACATTACTCATGCGTCGCGCTCAAACATATTTTTGTTGTTGCTTATTGCTCCGTAAAAGAGTTGCTCTCTCTGGATGCCGTTATTTGTGCCTTCTCTTCAAATTCCATGTTAGTTTAAACCCAGTAGTCAATATGAACTTATTCATCTGTAAATTCACACACACGCAATGTGCTATGTTAAATTAAAAAAGTTGAAATAAAAATCGAAAAAATAAAGACAGACCATGATAAGATATTTGTTTAGAAAATTTGCGGTCTATAAAAAGGGTTGACTTAAAATATAATATAATGTCATTTGACAATTAAACGTTAAATTGAAATTGAACGTTAATTCCCCGGCAAGTTCCACAGATATTTTGTAATGAATCTCGCAATTAAACAGCCCGCCATATCGACTAATTGGGCCAAACTAGGCACCCAGAAAATAGAGTAACCCATCAGCGATATGACAATAAAAATTGGGAGTGCATGAGCATAAGTAACGCACAAGCGAACATACACACAAACAGGTGCCTGCCTTGTCTATCTCTACTGTTGGCTTCGCTCTCACTCGATTTTTTATCGCCTGCTTATTTGCTGTGCGCCGGTTTTTCGTCCGCGTAAGTCACTCAATTTAAGTCTGTTTGAGCCCAGTGGTCAATTTGCTCCTGCAAAAATCTTGTATAGTCAACATGCTGACGAGTCTGTATAGCCGCAGGCTCCATTGGGTTTAACAAATGCCTTTAGGGTATTTTTGGCCAGTGTGACCAACCGAGGAAATAAATTGTCGTAAGTGCGGTGATACAGCAAACCCTTTTTCAAAGTGACGCTGAGCATTATTTAAGGCATTTCGAAAGAATTTGAGGTATAAGCTCTAGAAATGCGTGACACACGCTTGAGAGATTCCCCCACCTGCTGCTGTCCAAGAGCCTTTTAAAGCCACAATGCGCTCTAAGGCTTAGCGGCCAGTTACTTTGCGAGGGCATCCCAGCCCAGTTATTTCTTATTTTGTTCATGGCTAAGGTTTGTGTATTAAGAGCCTAGTCAGAAGTCTGTGCGGACGCAGCCTACATTGGAGGCCTAAAGTTCCTGTTATGTAATTTCGGGAGCTCAGCCCGCGGAAGGGTTCTGCTCAAACATTACTGTATGAAATTTGCTGGCAAATAGGCAGCTGAAGACGTTCGCGCTTTGTGGATTAACAGGCGCAACAGGAATGCCAACAGCAAAAGGCTAAAAAGTAAAACCAGGCAGCACGCACGCACACATTCCCAGGATAAGCCATGACTTTCAATTTCTTTGCAAAGTAAACTGTGCCGCCAGCTATTTTGTCGCGACCATGTGTAGGCGGTGGCGAGGGGTAAGGGGCATGGTTTTAAATAGTCCTGCGATAACAAGGCAGACGAGTATGTACGGATAAATCTGAGAGTTTGAACAGGCAACTTTTCGCTTGCTAGACCAGCGCTTAGTTTATCGGCATGCGGCATTCTACTAAAAAGTTTGCCTAACTAAAACCAGGCACAATTGACAGGTAAAAATTTTATTGTTCAGAATTTAACGCTATTACAGAAATTGTGTATGTTAACGGGGTAGCATATATCTGAAACAAGAAAAGTATATATTTATTAAAAAAACAAGTCGCCCATTCATTTCTGTTGCATGCTGTGCGCCTTGCAAATTTTTATACTGCGGCGGAGGGGGGAAGGCAAATTGCTGGCAGGGCAAAGCCAGCACCAATATGGCATAAAGCAAAGCACAATTGGTGGCACCGCGGGCGGTTTTACCGGCGCTAAACTCCTCGCCCGAAACAGTCAAATAAACAATGAACACAAAGCACGAGAAATTTCGTAATAAAAAATTACACACGCACATATGTGAAATGTGGGGACGCACCTCCCACGTGCCTTCTTTTATGTACGAATTTTCTTTGGCGCTTTTCATGTTGGCAACGGGCTGCGGAAAATGAAATCCGCTTTAGCTATTGCACCTACATGCGACACGGCTCCGCTTTGCTCTTCAGCCCTTCTCCGAAACAGGCAAGGAATTCAAATTACGTTACGAGTTTTGTTTACAATCGAACCCCAGCCCCAACTCCAACTCTTTGGCGCACACGAGTTATTGAATTGCGCCCTGACAGCGCGGCCTCACCTGTCCGCCCCCACTCCCCGCAACGCACCGCCTCACGACAGTAAAATTTTTATTGGCAACGCGCGGTGCTTTGTTTCGGCTGTCAAGCAATTTTCAATTTGCCTAGCACTCGAAATGTTGGCAGTCGGCTCAAGGCCGAAGGAGAGAGTATTTGGGGCTCACCTTGCTGGTTGGTTTGCTGCCTTTCCGCAGAGCACAGCCTGTAACCCAGGACACAAATAGGCGTCTATTCCGATCTTGTTTCGAAAAGTGTCGGGCGTAGCGGTTGCTCCTCCTAATTTCTTTCCAAAGCTTAGCACGTATATAAGCCAAAGGGCCAACAGGCTGGACCAGACGGACCACACCCCAGGGGCCCACAGCCGCCGCATGGTCCACATCCACAACCTCCAGAGGGTCCGCAGCCTCCGCAGACACTCCAGGGTCCACAGCCGGCGCTGCAAGGAGCACAGGAAGCCCAGGGACCGCATCCGTAGCCGCCGCAACCGTATCCACACATTGTGAGTTAATTTTTTTAGTGCTGTGTGCGGCATGCCCTTAGTTAAGCCAGGATAGGGGGGGTATATCTCACTCACCTTTGCTTCACAGAAATAGGAACTGGAAATATAAATTATGTATTTAGCCCAAAAATGCTGCTGGTATTATTTTGAGTTTTATTATAGAACTTTCAGTCCGATGTGGCTTAGACGAAAGTGCTACAAATAATGAACTATACAAATTTGAACTTTCTCTACGAGGAATTCGAACGGTGTCAAGGCTTACTTGGCTGATCGCAAGGATTATATAGGAAAAAGATTTTTAAAAGAAATGACCAAATAACCCACATTAGAGAGTAATAGTGATACAAATGAATAATAAATGAAAACGAATTTATTATTAAATTATTATGATTATTAATTTGCGCCTCGATTACGATGCCTTATTTTCTTATATTCAACTGGCTGACTGAGCAACTCAGGGGATTGCGATGGATGAAAGATGTTCTTTAAACATCCATCACATTATCTTGCTTTAACTTATTCAGCTTCCATTTCGCGCTGCTCCTGTAAGTTATATTACTGCAGAGCTGTGCTGGGAGCGTCAACTGTAAGCAATCCAAATGAAGGCCGGGGCAGAGTTGGCTTAAGTAAAGAAAGAGAAGCTGCGCGTAATTATTATACCTGGGAGCTCGTTGTGGGGCTTCCAGGAGCTAACGGTGTCAGTTCCTGCAACAGCAACAGCAACAGCAGCAGCAGCTGCAGCAATTTTTACGACGTCATTAACCCAACAAGTAGCTTCCGTTGCTGCCACGAGCCAACGAGGTGGCATCAGCCTGGGTAAACGGGTTAGCCAGACACCGAGTTGCACATTCCGGCAGCAGCAGCAGCAGCAGTGGCAGCAGTGGCAGCAGTGGCAGTGGCAACAGCGGAGCCAGACAGTTATGCGCCAGCAAATATGCAATGCAAAATAGCTACTGGCAAATTGTTTGGGGGCCAGAGAGACATTCTGCACAGCTCGTAATGCACTGCACAGAATGGGGCTAGATATTTGGGCAGCGGCACATGCTTCATAGCACAATTTGTTACCTGCTTTTTCAAGCTTGCACGTTGAAGGAGCTGCGAGGCTCTTCTTAGCTCTACGCACTGCATTTAAATCAAAAAGTGAAATAACTTCACCCAAACGCACCAATGTCGAGTCAACGGAAACGCGACTTAAGACTCAAGCTTTTTTCGACTAGATCTGTTTGAGTTGCACACCAAAATTTGAGCTGTAATCCAACTGCTTCGGTTGCATTCGATTAGCTCGAACATGTTGCTCCTAAGCGCTGCTCGAACTTCGTTTGAACGAATCGAATTTGTTGCAAATGAATTATGCGATAACGGCTTCTTGCTAGCAACCCATTAGAGCTCTTGAAATTATCATGGAGGCTAACAATATGCTGATTCAGATCAATTTCGCCTTGCGAATTTTTTGGTGAATTATTTGCGTATCGATTCGCATAATTTTATAGAATTTAAGAGCGCTTTTTATAGCCCAGTTAAGAGGACGCAACTGGAAAATCATCTTTGGCTGTTTATAGGCAAAAGTTTTACAACATTGCTTAGAAATGATGCAGCTCCTGCCATTTGCTGAAACATAAAACTTGGCTAATGAGCCGCTAAGCAGCAGCCGCGTGCCAAATAAGACCCCAAAGGGTTAACACTAACTACAGCAACAACAACAGCAGCAGCAACAGCAGCAGCAATAACAATTATAAAAGAAAATGCCACAGCAGCGAAGCCATGAAAATCAACGATTTAGTCGCACTTGGCTGGCAGCAAGACGTTAAATTTAATAACACAATTGCAAATTGGCTCAGGGTCTTAAATTTATGAAATTTAAATTGAACCAAGCAAATGGAGTTGCTCAAATCAAAGCCACCACCCGCTGCGCAGCCTGGACGAGCAGCAAGCGCAAGGGCAACAGCTGTGCCGCCCCCCCATTTTGGCCTTATTGTCCGCCCCCCTGTCCCGGGGGATAAATTAGTGGTTTTGGTCTCTAATATAGTCTTTGTCGTCGTCGTCGTCGTCGTCGTCTTGCGACATTTGTCACCCCTAGCTGCCGCACTGATTTAATATTTATTTTATTAATAGAAAATTAACATAAAAAAATTGCCGAAATATTTTGACACTTGGCACTTCGCATTGCCCTAACGGCTGCTGCTGCTGCTGCATGGGGCGTGGGGCGGGGGTTGATGCTAAGGCTTGCCAAGGGTTGGCTTGTTATTATTTTGACACTTGCCAAACAATTGGCATGCGAAATGAAAACCCAGCTGCCTTAAAGCTGCAACACAAGCAACGACAACAACTGCTACAGAAGGTGTCAAGACAAGCCAAGCAAAATTTTATTATGGAATTTCGTAAATTAAATATTTACACGACAGCTGTGCGAAGATCTGAAGTTCTTCGCAGGCATCGTGTTGATTCAATATTGAGCTTCAATATAATTGAATTTAATAGCTCGTTGGGTCAAGGCTTTAAAATTCTGCTGCACAACCATTGCGAGCTGATTGAACGTGGATATTGGCTACAAAAGACAATCGCATGTTTTGGGAAATTCCAAAAATAAATTGGAGACAGGAGCATTTCTAGGGCATCTATGCGAAAATATATTTCACATGTATCTCATAATCCGTCAACCTGGATTTAAATTTAGTTCCAATCGGGCTTATACTTGTTTTTACATTTATTTCTACGGCGAGGAATGGAAAGAAAGGTGAGATAGATTTCCATGTATCTCAAATCTTTTTAAATATAGTCTAATAACTAACTGAAGCCCCATTCCAAAAGGGCTCTCCGCAGCTGCAATCCAATTAGCACGCATTACAATTACGCGCCATAACCAAAGTCAACAGCAGTGTCAGGAACTACAAGGAGAATTGTTCATTTAAAAATAAAAATAAAAAAAAAAGAATAGAAGAGTAAATAGAACATAATGCAAAAGAAAAGGCAAAGGCAATCGAGGGACCTGGCGGGGCGACCAAACGAGCAGCCAGCGTGAAAACGCGTTGAACGCTGTGTCACTAATTCAGGTAATTTGTCACTTTATTTACATTTGAAATGAATGTTGTTGCTGTTGCTATTGTTGTTGTCGGTCGCGGAGAGCAAGAAAAACCGAGAAAACCAATTTCCATTCTCATTTTGTGGGCAACGCAGCGCACAGAAAACAAAACAAATGAGTGACTGACGTGCGGGGCGCGGAATGAAGCAACCCTTTATCTTATGCCACTTCCCCGGGCCTCACGGCCGAGTCCCGGCCAAGTGTCGATGCCGAAGGACTCCCGGACAGACGGACAAACGGACAAACGGGCCAGCAGCGGCGAAACCAAGAAATGCGATTAACATTTGAACAGTGGGCAAAAAGGCAGCGACGCGACGTCTTTTGTGGCGCGGCACGTTGCACGTTGTTCGTTCCACACGGCGTATGCTTAATTTGAATGAAGTGGCAATGTTGTTAATAGCCCTTCACCCCTCCTCCTGCTCCACCTCACGCTTTTACCTTTACAGGTGGTGCGCTCGGCTTTTAATGATGCTGTTTACTTTGCATTCGATGTGACAGCCTTCCGTGGAAAAGAATTAGAATTGTGACCCGAGCAAATGTTGGCACAGCAAATATTGCCAAAAAGAAATTGGCAGGAAATTCCTGCCTACCTGCCTACCAAGGTGTTGGCATAGCTATAATATTTAATTAAAAATGCAGAAAAAATATGCCAGTATATTTAATTGAAAATATGCCTGAGCACTTAATTAAAACATTTTGAGAAAATTATTAAAAATATTCACAGTTTTCTTTGCTCTGATAAATTATTTGAACAAATAATTGCAAGAAAATATTTAATTTAAATTTTTGCATAAATATGCCTATGCATACATACATATATATTTTGAATAGCATTTTCTTTCAATTACTTTTCGTTACCCCTTTTGAGGAAAAGTCGTCTGTAATGAAAATTTCAATCAGCCAAGCTCGACTCGACAACGTCGACATTTATGAGCAGCTTGTAACATAAATTCTGGCAAAACAGCCAAAGAACACTCCCACACCCACACACACACACACACACACACACACGCACGCCCAAGCACAACCACATGCCAGAACTCAGTTGCCCTCTCGCTTCCCTTTTTGGTTTTCCACCTGTTCTTTGCCACCTTGTGCCATTGCCACAAATAAAAATAAACACACGTGCGCTGGCTGCTTCATTGCCAAAACGTGTGCCCAGGCGACGCGTCTCGAAGACAATGCCAACGAGCTGAATGGGCTGGAGGTAAGAGTCTGAGAAAGGATATGTGTGCGCGGTTTTTGCGCAGCCAGAGACAAAGTGCCGCCACAATAATAGTTGAGGAGCAGCAGCAGAGAGGTTTTCACATAAATATTTTAAACATGTTTACTCTGCCATATTTTGTAGACCCCTCAACGTCTCACCCGCTCACACGGAACGGAGCTGCTTCAAACACGCCTGACCACGTACGCTATCAATGTCCAATCTTGGCTGACTCCTTGCCACAATTCCACATGCTTGCCACACATAAAACTCAACAAATTTTTGCAATGCAGACGCAAGATGAATTTACTTGGCCCGTCTTGTCTTTTCCGCTTTTTCGCTTTTCCACTTTTCATTATTTGCTTATTTTATTTGCTTTGATTTCCGCTTGCAGAGTTGCCAACTCTGCCAAATTTCGGAGTGTTTCTCTTCCTCTTCATCCAGTTTTTCATTCTTTTCGCCATTGTATTTGCCTTGCCCCATGTAAACAATAAGCTTAAATTGTGAACTGTGTGTATTCATAAGAGCCTCTGAATGAGTTATGTCACTCGAAAAACTACAAAAGGATTGTGTTCTAAGTATGCATGTGTCTGCTTGTGGCTGACTGTGTAAGTTAGGGTGTCTAGAATTGTGTGTTGCAAACACTACAGTGGAAACAAATTTCAAGTAACCCAAAAACAACCAAAAACCTACATTGGATAGATACATGCACAATTCAACTAATTTTTTTTATTTTTAAGAATCGCCACAAAACATTTACGAGCAATATTTGCTTTAGTTATCAGAATTTCCATGGCAACCTTTCAGCGCCAGTTCACTGTGCAGCCCATGTGATGTACGCATGTCTTTGCTCTATTGTTTATATTGTTTTAATTAATTTCATTTTGAGACTTGCTGAAAGTAACACGCACCGCAACCTCCTGTGCCACAAGTTCTGCTCACGTGTGCAGAAATGATATCGCACCGAGCAGCTTCTTTGAGGCCAAAGCAAATTTTTGAGTGTCGAGCGTTGAGCTTCGACCGCAAGCCGAAGTTGTGTGCTCTGTTAAGTGGAGAGCGGTTACCGCATCCACATCCACATACCCATCGCCATCGCCATCCCCATCCCCATCCCTCATCCCACTTCAACCTCCGGGACAAACAAGACAACAGAGAGGCCTTTAGAAATGACAGAGTCGGCTCTTGCCACTATGTTTGTGCAATGAAGCGTTGGGCTTTTATAACGCCAACAGTCAGTTAAGAGACTGCGACTCAGCCTGGCAGGGATAAGGGATGTGGGGCGAGGCGGGGCGCGGCGGGGCGGTCATTGAGAAGCTCTAAAAAAGCTGCAGGGAAATTCTTAATTTACGAAAAAATACAAAAAAATAAAAACAGAAATGGAAAAACCTCTGCGTAATAAATGAAACGTAAAGGCAAAAAATGTGAAACTTAACAACTCGATGCTGGGATGGGTCGGTGAGCGGTAAGGGACAATCTGTGAGCTAACGGAGGGAATGAGGGCTTCGGACAGTTTTAGGTTTTTGGACAGACACTATACTCCTCCAATCCGGGCACTGAAAGCTTTACGCTCCACTTGGCTGCTGCTTTGATTCTCACGGTTTTCATTTGAATGCGCCTGTCCCGGCGGCACACCCGGACCCCAGTTATACCCGAAGGACGCGCTCCTCACCTGTGCGCACGCCTTGCCATCGTATCTTTGAGATACTTAGATACGTATATATTTTAATGTGCGCTTTATCAACAGCTTTAGATAGCTGCGAAACGTACCCAGCTCCCAGCCATTTGTTAGACTTGACTGCATCGGCTGCTGCTTCTGCTTCTGCTACTCCTGATGATGTGGGTGTGGCGGGTAACCAGGTGGGCAGGTGGGCAGGTGGACGGGTTGGGCATCTTGGGCTGGCCAGCTTGTTGATGGTTTCGTGCTGTGCTTTTGTTGCCTCAAGCAAAAGATTTTAAGTGATTTTTCTTTGACTTTTTATGTAGCTGATGTCAAATTTATCTTGATTTTACTTTTTCGCTATGCAGTTGGCAGCACAGTTTGTCAATCAACGCAAGTTGACAGTGCTATGCAATTTATAGAAGAGAATCTTCTGCGCAATATTTGTCAGTTAATAGACTGTGCTAAAGAATTATTGGAATTTTATATTTTCCTGACATTAATTCATTATTTACTCACATAGCGAATTGGGCGAAGTCTGTTATATGAGTTATATATTTTTGTGGTCCTCGGCTATACCAAAAACTTGGCCCGGGCAAAGTCAAATATTTCCCGCTTAGTTTATATTTAAGAACTAATCCGAATACTTGCAGCAATGTCTTAAAGGTTTACACTCGTGACTGAAAATTATTTGACAGCGCCTAAATACCAATTGCAAGCAGGGGCACTGAAATATTTCATTTCCAACACGTTGGCAGCACCTTAGCCTTTCACTTTCGGGTTGTCTAATTAAAAACTTTGGCGCGTTTATCCAACATATGAGACAAGCTCACACCTTGGCGGGGCGCCTCATGGCTGCCAGTTCTCTCTGTTCACGCTCCCTGTCAAAACTGTCACAAAAATGACATTTTGCTGGCTAATTACAAATTCAAATTAAATCACAAGTAATTAGCTGGAAAGTCAAAGCCAAAGTTAACAACAATGCGCAAGGTGCTTGAGGGCGGCAAGGAATATTCAGTTGGTCGGGAGGCGTTCAGGAATTTGACAGCATTTTATGATTTACAAACGCTATAAAATGCGCCTAATGGTTTGTTTGTTTGTTTGTTCGTTTGTTTGCTACGACTTTTCAAAGGGGGCGTGGTACATGCCCTACAGGATGAGGCAGCATTGAGCCAAATGAAAGACATTAAAAATGACAACAGGCAGCCAAAATGCCGGCAAAAAGGTAACCAAATGACAGAACGGGCGACACATTAAAATACATTTTTAATGCTGATGTGTTCCATATGTGTGTGTGTGTGTGTGCCCTGCCACGCCCATAGCTCCGTTTGGTATTCCACATTTTAGGCGTGTTTATGTAACTTTTGCATGGACATGTGTCTGCCAGTCATTGGCTTGACTTTAACCCGCCCCCTAATAATGCCTCACCCCATTGCACGTTAGAATTGTAATCAAAATAATTACTTTTATTGTGATTTCACTGAATGTTAATCAACAAAAACTCGCACAGCTGCGAGCTGCAGCATTTCGGGGGCGTGGCGACGTTTATTTTTTTATCCAGAATTTCGCATCTCGCTGACTTTTGAATTATTGTTATGGCTTTCATTTTAATGGATTTTAATTTCCTGCTTAAACAAATCCAGTGGCTTGTGCAATTAAATGTGGTCTACGCCAGAGAAAAAGCTGTATAATTTTCTTAGTTGTGTCTAATTATTTGATTTTATTTTATTTGAATTCCGAAATGCTTTCTATTTATTCCATTTATTTTTTTTTTTTTGTTAAAATGTAATATTGTGGCTTATAGTCGAAAATTGAGTTGCTTAGTTCGTATTCTTGGACAACCAACAATTACAATGTGTACAATCTTCAGCCTGCTTGGCATTTTAATCCTTTCCACATTGACTACTGGGGTCAAACAGAAAGAAGTTGTGGAGACGCACGATGGGCAAAAAAAAGGCGCACAGAAATCTTAGCGACTCCAGAAATTCTGAAGATCATTAGGCAAAGGGCAGCAAAAAAAAGTCGTGAGACTGCAAAAGCATAAGTAGATAACGCACAAGCAAATACACATAATTTTACTAGGGGCCATCTCTATGCTCTGTTTTAGTAATCGAAAATGCGGCAACATTTGTACTTTTCCCATCAAGTTGGCAGTTTGCATTAAATTTTATATATATTAAATAAACGTCACACAAATTGTATTGCTCTAAATATTGTGCACTGAGAAATTAACAAAAATTACCAAATAATGAACCTGGTGTGGGGACACAAAGGGCCATATTTCCATGCGCCGTGTCAGCGCGATCGCTTTCCCAGCGTGCTGGACGAATTAGGCGAGGACGGCGACAAGCTGGTGGCCCATTTGGGCATCTCCAACATGTCGGACATGGGCGCCCGTCTGAAGAGGGGTCGCAAGCATACAAGTGTCGCCGAACAGCGTGCCGCTGATATTGTTAAGGAATCGCGGGTGCCGCTGCAGAAAATGTTTTGCTCCTCGGCGCAGGGAATGCGACGTGGCGTCGACAAGTACACCCAGATACCTAAATACGATCCCTATGTGGATGAGGAAGATCAACGTGAATTGGCGCAGCGCTATCGCAAGCTACTCAATCGCCCAAATCCCACACCAGCCCAGCGCCAGGTGGGCGAGCCCCCATACACAGGCAATTGCCAGCACTGTCGTCGCCGGGGCAGCAACGATGTGGCCAACGACTTTCAAGGACGACTGTATCTGCAGCAGGCCTATCTGCTCGGCCAAATCAATCTCATGTGCGTGAGTAGAGCTTATGGCTGGTGTCTTTGCTAATTGCTTGTTACTTTACAGGGTATTGGATGGTCAACATCAGCAGCAGCAGCAGCAGCAGCAGCAGCAACATCAGCATCAAAACGATGGACCGCTCAATATTCATCGCAATCGCAATCATGGCTAGCATTGGACCTACATTAAAGCGTTTTATTTGTGCAGTCTAAGTGTCATTAAAGTTCAACATCTGCTTTCAATTATGATAAACATGCAATATGTAGCACGACAGTGGGACAGTGGGGGGGTTGTGTCACAAATCAACGCCAGCATTAATTTTTCATGTATTGCATGTAATCACAAGCACCGCAGCTGCTGCACAAATTGCAGCTTTTTTAATTGCTATAAAACTCTGCGGCATTTAACAGATGTCAACAGCAAAAGATTAAGTATCTGTATCTGAAACACGAGCGCCCTAGCGCCAGCCATGTAAACTGTGTGCGCTCATGGAATGCTAAATATGAGGAAGCCTACAGTAGCAACTGCGATCGAGTGCTCAAAGTGGGCATCACGTTAGCTCTGGAACTTTGGCTAAAGAATTTGCATTTCACTTAATGTTATTTCGCCGAAGATTGAATACCCTAGCATAATTATGGCTAACGGGTTGGTAGCTTTGTCATGGGAATGGTGAAACTCTTAGTTGATATCTACACGCACAGAAGTTTCCTATACAAAAAGTGATATTGCGATCAGTTCTTATATATATATTGAGTTTGGTTAAAGTATTTTTACACGCTAAAAAGTTTTCCAAAGAAGAACTTTATTGCAATCTTTTCTAAGGCAAGTTTATGGTATAATAGTCCGATGTTGCCGTTCATGATGATATCTTTAAGACTAAGAGACTAGTTTGGGTAGAAAGAAATAGACGAATGTCAATGAAAATTATCGGATCGAATTAGCATTACAATGCTTTAACAATCAATCGGATGAAAATTAAACAGCCACTGAGTACAAGCCGTTTTACTTATTTCATTTCATTTATTTCATTTTCTAAATTCTACAACCAATAAAGAAAAATGGGCTTAATTTTTTAAGAGAAAGGTTAAGGCTCCCACGCTTAAGTTAAAAAAAAACAGGACGCACAACGTTTTGCTTAAGTTGTTGAATGTTTCTCAGTTATAAGCTGTATTTATTCATATATTAAAAGACAACGCTCATCCGGCGATCCTATGGACCATGTTGCTGTCTGTCTCAACGCTTTGTTCATTTCGCGCTGCTTCTTGCTCATTCGCCCACTTTCACCCACTCAGGGCTTGTTCACTTTGCCATAAGCTTTACATAACTTGAGGCGCAACAGGAAATGAATGAACACGCCCCAGTCGACTGGCTGGAACAAGCGACACAAAGCGAAAGCAAGGAAAAATGTTGCCGTGGCACAGTTTTTCCATGTACTTAGCGCCCATTCCAGCTAATGTCACGCGGAGAAAGACAGCGAAAGGGAAAGAGAGGGGGGAAAGAGTGTGCAAGGGGCGGCGGTGGATGTGCCATATCCAAACACAAATTGCTCTTGTAATATCAATTTAAAGCACCGTCAAAATTACGCCTTAAATTATGCAAATGTTTTGTGCTGCGGCGGGCGAAGAGCTAACAAGAAAAGTTTAAATAAATATTCAGTTTGGCTGATTTGTATCTTTAATTTTGGTCGTATTTGCAGTTGTTTTTCTTATTATTATTGCTTTTGATTTGTGAATGCCTTTTAATTAACTGCAAAATGCTCAAAACTTTAACAAAAAGTTTTCAGCCCATCAAATTAATTTTGAAATAAATCAAAAAACGTCACGAAGAAAAAATAAATAAATAAAATAAAATACCTGAGCAAGTCGAAAGTCGGAGCGTGAGGAGCCTTGTGTTGTGTTCACACACATCCAAACACACACACACTCGCACACACACACACACACTTAGCATAACTTTCATTTTGTTGAAATAACTTTCTTAATATTTTGTTTTATATCTACGTATATTTTGGCATCGCCTTTGCCTCTTGTCTGCCCGCCCATATTTTTCTCTTTCTGTATCTTTTGCTGCGTTTCCTGTGCCACATTTCCTTTGAACTTTATCTTTGTTGTTTGCCATTTTCATATATAGCACAACAACAAACATTTTCAACTTTTCCCGCTCAAGTTTATGCAAAGCATTTCAGGTCCAAGCCCTCCAGAACCCTCTCCTACCAACTCACCTAAAGTTCGCTCTGGCAAAAAAAAAAAAAAACAACTGAGATCTCTGCTAGGAAGTGCCTGACTACGAGATACTCTAAGCCCAACGACAAGATGCTATTCTATTATTTTTCTATACACTTAAGCACAGGTTGAGCTCCGCTTTCCATAGCCCGACACTTTGGGAAATGCATTCCTGATTAACTTCGGTACAAATTGTCCAATCTTTATGAAATTTTTAGAGTTTAAGATGTACCAGCTTCCGCTTATATGCTCCAAGATATGCACAAAATAGATTTCTTGCAAGCTGTGAAAATATTGCGATCTGTGCCATTAGAGGATCTACGACCTGGACCTTGATATTTTAAGTGTCTAGCTTTATAGTCTCCAAGACGGACGGAGAAACAGATGAGGCCTGAAACATGCGTTAGCACATAAACGCTGTATCCTTTGCAACAATGATCAATGGGTATAAGGCATAAAAAAAAGAAATGGGAGCGCCAAAACTTTCTGTTACCTTTAAACAAATTGTCCCTTTTTGTGGGCTTTACATGTGTGAGTGTGTGTGCGTGTGTGTGTTGACAACAACAGCAAAAGCAACACTACAAAAACAGCTAGAAAAGCACATTACAAAAACCCGGCTAAGCAGGATATGCACACTTTGATCCCGTGTTGGTTTTACTGTGTGAGCGGAATTGTGTTTGCCATATTTCCGTTGATATTTCTACTCAAAACTTGGCCAAGTTTTCTTTGCTTTTCTCTTTTATTTTATTTAGGCATTTTTAAGTTTTTCCTGCCTGCTGGCAAAATCTTTTAAGCAGTTGACATTTATGTGTTGGCTTTATCAAAATCTCAATTCAAAAGAAAGGGTATTCCAACTTAAAAGAAAAGCTGCTCAT